CAACAACAACAACAACAACAATTATTATTATTATTATTATTATTATTATTATTATTATTATTATTATTATTATTATTATTATTATTATTATTATGCAAAGAAAATCCAAGTTGTAATTAAGTTAAGAAACACCTTCTCATAGTCATTAATAAATAAAATATTTCAAATATCAGGTCCTTTCACATTGAAATATGTGTATTTAGTAATTTATTATCAAAATGTATAATTTTATAATGCTGGTATATTGCCAGTTTTATCTGCTCATACAGGTCATGTTACTTTATTAACAGTTATTTCAGCTCTGATAATTGAAACTGCAAATTCAGCCAAGAACATTGTGGTATTGCAACAGAGTTCACAGACAAAACATGCAATTTGCAGCATACCTGGCCAACACATAATTGTTGGCTAGTGCTGTTTCAAGACTGGCAGCACTGATATCGCTGTTATGTACATAGATCTCTGGAAGACACATTAAATGTGAATATGAATATGAACATGAACATGAACATGAACAGTGTTGTTTCCAGGAGACAGAGCTCAGCATAATACATCGGTCACTAAATCACAGCTGGTCTCTAGGTGTATTTATAAAAAGATTTGTTATGCATGAAAAAATATTTTGCTTTTTGAATTTTAGAAATATGCATTTTTACATTCATGTTACCTGTCTTTGAAGGTTTCATATGAATTGATCGAATACTTTGAATAATCGCCAGATTCTCCAGATTCGAAATGATTAGACTGCCATGTTTGGAATTAACTTAAACAGTTAACATAGAAATAAAATGGAATTGTTTCAGTCTCTGGAGTTACTGCAATGAGAAACTGAAAATGTGTGGTCTAACATATGATTAGCTGTTGACCAATGGAAAAGACTGGTTCAAACCTTAATCCAAGAAAAAAGGGGTTGTGTTCTACATCAGTTTGAGTCAAAAATATAATAGAAATATAAATGAAATCCCATTGTTAACATTTAGAATAGAAAATATTTTTCTGTGTAAAGAATAAATCGTTTTGTGCATATGCTGAAGCATGTCTTACACAACTTATATGGGTTTCATTCATATCTGTTGAGCCATAAAATAGTCTTTTTTTCTTTGTGCCACCCAGTATACATGCCCTATGATTTTTTTGGTAAATATCAGAATTGAGAAAAGAAAGAAATACGTGAAATATGGATACAAAAAATTAAATATATTATAAAAATGATTCTTCTGTCCTGATGCTTTAGGGTGATCAGGAAAAAATAACATTAAATGTCTTGAACATAAATTTTCAAGCAAGTTTTTACTTTCCCCCACCCCCTTCCACACACACACACACACACACACAGAAAATATCCCAGTGGCCCCCACGACCACAGTGACAGTGGGATGCTACAGTGTCCAGAAGAAAGTAATGCCATGTTCCAACAGTTCTTGTTGCACCTCATATGTAGTAACACCATGAAGCATTGTGCCATTAATGGTGATTTGAGGCAGCACAGTACAGTAGTGTTAAAATGGGTGTTAGAGAAATAGGATAGGGTGGCATGGACTGGATGAATCTGGCCCAAGAAAGGACCAGTAAGCATGGTAATGAACCTTCAAGTTCAATAAATTCTTGTGTAGCTAAGCAACTGGTGGCTTCTCAAGAATTCAGCTCCATGAAGCTAGTGATCAAATGAAGAAGATGTTTAAGTCTACAAGCCCTGAACAGGGATTGCATTGTACATGCAGTAGTATGTAAGAGAGGATTTGGTGAAGCAGTGAAACCTGAAATTATGAGATCACACATATACTTAACTTTGCTTGCAATACGCAAATGTGCGTGTGTTTGCATGCAAGAATGTACAGAACAGTTTAATGAGCACATTGTCGAAGAATATTTAAGACATCATATTATGCTATTTTCTCACCTCCAGTGATATTGTATGAGTGCTTACAAAGATACCCATATTACACAACTTAGTCTTTGAAAATAACGTAATGTCTAAACTTTTGTTGCAGTAAAATAAATCGTTCATATAATTATTACAGTCATTTAGGAGTGTGTACAGAGTATATTAACTATACATTTTTTTCAGTATTTCATTCAGTATTAGTTCACAGATGAAACTGTTGGTTCATGGTGGATGTTTATATATATCCTCCAAAGAATTTGTCTAAAAGATTGAATATTTCTTTTTTATCAAATCCACATTGAAAAAGTGGCCTTCAGGTTGCTATAATAAATCAGTAAAATTTTATAGTGATGTAAAAAGTTATGAATTTACCATGCAACAGGGTTATCATTGTAGATGTGTAGTTTTCAAGATGAGCTATATACTATTCTTACAAAAACTTGATTGTCAGGGATATACACAGAAATTAAGAACTGGAATTTTTTGCTGATGAGCACCGAGCATTTCAACATATAATTCTTATCTGGTGATCAAATGATGGTAAGACAATAGCAAGAATGATTATTGTTCTCTCAGCGTTTGTGACAATGATCAGTTCATTTTGACATAAATTCGCTGGACACTGGATGTTATGACAAGTATGCCTGAGACATGTGATAATTTTGGAACTGAATTTATTCCCATATTCAGAGGTTTTGTTGCTATTTAACTCGCGTTTTTTTAGTATTTTAATTTTTCGTAGCATCAGTTGGCACTAAACCTAGGACCCAAAGTTTCTTCTGGGGCTTTGTCACAGTAAACTTTAATTAATATGAGTGAAAGGGACTGTTTCTATAATGACGGTCATCTTAATGTGAAACTATAGCCATATTCTGTATTTCTTTTGTACCTCAGGAGGCAGAGGTTGTATATTGTAATTGTGTCATGTGGAATGGTTATTGCTTGCACCAGAGTGTTGGCATTCCTCTGATCTCACCACATATTTTTTACATACAGAATTCTATATGCCAGTGCAGTTAAAGAATTAAATGTTTTTGTACAATGAAATTCCAAAGGAATGTCTGTCTGGATTAAGTATGTTTGAAATCATATTTTGTTGCATCCTGTTGTGTAAATCACTGTTTGTTTTATTTTTGTCAGTGCAGAACTGTTTTCAGCAGGTAGGGTTTCTATCTAAGGCAATATGTTTTGACACATGTCTGCCAATTTCAGGTTCTGTTTTTAAATTCGTAGTTAATGTATCATGCACATGAAATACATTTACTTGACTTACATGTAAATTTACTCTGTGTGTTTGATATGTTAATTAGAACCTAAATACAGGACCTGAAGTTGGCACACATGTGCCAACACCTGTCAACTTAGACAGCAATCCCATCTGCTGAATTTTGTGTTGTGTTGACAAGAATAAAATAAATAATATATAAATATTTTTGAACCATGGATATCATACATAGGTCATACCGAAAGTCATGAGCAACTTTTTTTTGCATGCAACCTGGGAACAGCAGACAAAAGAGAGTATGGTGGTAGGTGGAACCAGCTGTTGTGTTAACCTTGAATGTCTTGTGATGTCACTAGCTTGCATCACGTGACCAGTATCACTCCTAACAAAATGGCCAACAATGATATGTCGTTTTGCCAGCGTGCTGTCATCGAATTTCTTGTGAAAGAGGAAATCCCTGCTGCAGAAATTCACCAGAGACTTCAGCATGCTTATGGAAGTCTGTGCATGGGTGCGAGCAGTGTTTCAAGATGGGTGAAACATTTTAAAGATGGGAACACAAGCATCGAAGATGAGCCTCGGAGTGGTCGTCCTCAAACAGCCCCAACTGAATGCACCAAGGAAAGAGTGGAAGAAATCATTCAAGATGACACATGTGTGATTGTGGACACAATAGTCCAAAAACTTGGAATATGACAGAGTGCAGTACAGGAGATGATTGAAGGCTTGGGCTATAGGAAAGTTTTTGCTTGTCGGGTCCTGCGGTTGTTGACCAAAGGCCACAAAGGTCAGTGAAAAGCCATCACCTGAGGACTGCTGCAGAGATATTGACATGAAGGCGGTGATTTTTTGCTCTGTATTATGACAGATGACAAAAGCTGGTTTCACCATTTCGAGCCTGAAACGAAACGGAACGGCAGAGTATGGAATGGCACCATTTGCATTCTCCATCAAAAAAGAAGGCAAAGACAGTGCCATCAGCTGCGAAGGTGATAGGCACAGTCTTCTGGGATGCAGAAGGGTTTATTCTGGCCGAATTCCTGGAACCTGGGCAAACCGTCAATGCTGCTCATTATGTCCAGATGCTGAACAAGCTCTGTCGTGCATTGTGCGATAAACGTCCAGGATGAAACATCATCCTGCATGACAATGCTTGCCTCACATTGGAAGCACTTGCAGAGATGGGGTGGGAAGTTTTTCCACACCCCTCCTATAGCCCTGATCTGGCACCCTCCGATTACCATCTTTTCGGATTTGTGAAGGATCAGCTGCATGGACAACGTTTTGAGACAAGGGAGGCAATTCAGAAAGCAGTGTGTCAGTGTCTTAGGATGGCTGGGACAGAATTTTACAGAAGGGGAATTTTCAAACTCCCAGAATGGTGGGAGAAATGTGTACAAAGAAGCGGCAATTATGTGGAAAAATAAAGAAAGGTCTGTAGATTGAGGTGGTGTATTTGGTTTGTCAATAATAAAGCATGTTATTTTACAAAAAATTGTTGCTCATGACTTTCAGTATGACCCTCATATAATAATAAAAGAATATACGTACATATGTTTTGTGTTTGTTTCTTTCTAGTTTTTGAAGTAAGTGATTAAACCAGGTCTTTTGCCACATTTTTATGATTATGAATTAGATGTAACAAAATATCTGCAAGTAAAATGGCAAACATTAATCATTAACTTTCAAATCAAGTATTGCTGATATGAAAGTCTCCCTCAAAGTGGACTTGGTGTTTCTTTGCCTTTTCAGTTTTCTTGTGAAATAATTTTGTTAGTAAAAAGTGACTGAATAACTACATTCTCTCTGATTACTTGGTATATAAATTGGCAGTTCTGAAAAGTAACTCACTATTTACTTTTTGTGACATATTTCTTATTTTGTCCTTAGGAATCTGGTGTACATTTTGTTGGAAGTACTGAAGCTTGTTCTTCACTACACAGTCCAGCAGAGCAACAAGACAACACTTATCCAGATTCACTCATTCATTTTTCATTTCAAGGATCTGACCTAGCAGCATTTAAACACCCGACTAATATTGTTACATGTGACAACTCTGTAATATCTGAACGTCGCAACTCAGTTTATGAAACTTCAGAAACACAAGCACATCCTTGGCATTCCTCATCTTCAGAATATTTTGACAGTATCAACAACTCTGGTAGTTCAGTTTTTCAGAACAGTTCTATCCTGCGGTCATTTTCATTTTACCAAGACCAGTATCTTCAGTCAGCAGTGCAACATGAAGGGTTGGCTGAGTGTGATTCATTGGAAAAAGAAGCAGTTGGTGTGGAGCTTAATAATATAATGGCTGAGACTGACAATGAAGATGTAAATTTTATTGTGAGCTCAGCCTCTTCAAGAAATCTTTGGGTGAAAACTGACAATCCAACTGAGTGGTGACAAAAATATACTTCATGAAGTTTTTACCGTACCAACAACTTTTGAATAGAAAATTAGATGAAATGGCTTAACATAATTGTGTCAGGTAACCAAAAGCAAAGATGATGCAAAAGTATACAGTTACTTTTTCAATTGTAAGAATTAAAAAAGTATAATTAATGCTGTAATCATGGCCCTAAATGAAATGTATGGCATTTTAAGTGTTAAAATGTGTGTATAGAGAAATTAACAGAACCCTTTAACTAGAATATGGCATGATATTTTTATGAGCCCAATAAAGAGAGCTTTCTCTTCAATTCTGAATAACAGTTTTTATGTGATAATTTACGTAGACCTGCGAATACAATAACACAACAGGAATTCCCATTTTTGGCTACATGTGCATATATTTTTGCACTGAAGAATTTAATTTATTTTTCCAGTATTCATTTTAGATGTACACTTGAAAAAATAACACTTGAGAAAATAAAATATTTTTGCTTCAGATTTCATGACAAGATTGTAATGTAGTAGCAAGGTATATATAGTAGCTTCTCTATGTCAATAAGATTTACTGAGAAGATATATTTTGATACCATTTCTTGCCACTAGAGAAGGTTCATATAGATCTTACGGTGATTATAATATAAAAATATTTAATTGAAGCTGAACAAATGCTAACAGCATATGTCAATTTAACATCCCTATTATGAAAGACTGAATTAAGAATTTATTTCATTTACGAGATTTGACAGCCCAAGTTACATTTAACAAATAACAGTTAAGTACAAAAAGAAGCCACTCGTCATCATTATTATGCTACACATGTTTACTTTTGGTTACCAATTCAAGAGAAACTTTTCATTTCATTTACTACTCAAATATTCTGTGGTATAAATTGTAGTTTCTTTTCCATATTTTAGGGAGATATTCCCTGTAGACCTGTGATCATCCTGAAGAGGTATAATAATTATTGGTGCTGAAATATTGTCAGCTACTAGATGGTTGCTAGTGTAAGGATGGAAGATTATTTATAGAGATTTATCTATTGCATATTCTATAGTCATATAGAAACTTATTTCTCAGATATCAGTTGACTCAGAAAGTTGTGAACTATAGGCATAGATAGGAGTTATTCCATTTGTACAGTACTTTTGAAATGTCTTGGTAAAGCTATGATTTTAAGGCATTGTTGTAATAAGTTAGTAATCAAGAGTGGGTTTAGTAAGTTTAAATCATTACATATCGTAATTAATGTTATAAGAAATTTGAACTTAAAAATTCCACCCATTCCAGTCATATCTATCAAGAAGTGTATTCTGTTTTCTGCTATGTATTTTTCATGTGTTAATGAAATTCTTGCTCAGCATATAACTTACTCTATTTCTGCTACTTCTTGTTTCCTTTTTTGATTTATAAGTTCTTCCATGACTATATTTCTGGGGGGGGATTCAGTTGTTGGAATTAGTACACTTCTAGAATTTTGTATTGAAAGGAACTGTAATGTGCTGCTTATTGTAGCAATTCTTTTTGTTTCATATTTTCTGCTGTGTTGTTATATCGGTTTTTATATCTGTCTCAAATGTTCTACAAAGCACTAATTTTTCTTCAGTTTGTTACAGTGAACTGAAGGCAGCCAGTGTGCAGTCTGTGAGCTCTAAATGTCTTCTTTGTTGAGATTTCCCGGAATGCTTTCTCTTCAGTCATGGTTTTCACAAGTTTACTTATCATTTCTCCGGTCTAGAAAACTGAAATTAACGGCCATTTGGATTCGTTGCGCTGATCATGCGACACCCTCTATTCACAAAAGTTGGCACTAAACTTCGCTGACAAACGGCGGTCACTCGGTCGGTGTGGTTCGCTTGCAGACTGAAATCACGGAGTTTTGTTTGTTTTTTTGTTTTTACCTATCATTTCATATTGGATTGCAAGTTTGTCATATTGATTTTGCTATACAGATACTACCTGCCATTCATTTTCCTTAATTATCTGCATGTGTTATGGATGTTTAGCGTCATACCACATTATTTCTTGTAGATTAACCAACTTACCTAGTTTTCATTTCCAGCTTGTTGTCTATACTACTGCAGCGGTAATTATAGGCCTGGTTCTTCCTTTTCACATAAAAATTACAATGAAAAGCAGAAAAGTGTGATTCATGATGACAGCTTAATTAGTCACTTCAGTCCCCGGTTCTGATCATCATTTTGCCATCAGCCAAAATGCACATTTTATCCCTATTTGTTTTGTTGGTTATTTGTTAGTAGTCATGTTCTTGCCTTGACAAGTAATGATCATTCTGACACATTCATACCCAGGTTTCTCTACCTCTGTGGCCCATCCACTTTTCAATAGTAACACAATATGCACATCAAGTGACAGATTTTGTTCAGAGGTTCGGTGCTTGATTTTTATGCAGTGTATCAGCTAGTCCATGTTGTGATACTGCATGAAACTCTGTGGAAAAATCATTAAGCTACAAGCAACTACATATAAGATGAGATTTATGTTCTCATGGTGGTGTGTTTATGATATGGTCTTCTGGAATGGGACACTCTGGAGTCTGGTAGATAGATACCAATGTTCCAGAGGAACCTATTGCTTCTCTCTTCTAACCTGAAAATGGAGGCAACAGGTTTCTCCAGAATAGCTGTACTGATCAACCAGACTACTTGAAGTCACATCATAGAAGACTGTAATCTTATATGTGATGGTGTGAAATGCACATACCTCCATATGTCCAAGCATGGCATTGGCCAGGATACTGCTTTCTGAGCACAGATTTGTTACTTTTAAATTGCCATACTTTTGTGTTTTTGACATTTAGCTCATTTTCGTATACATTATATGCATACTCATAACTTGCACACTGAGCACTTGACGTATAAACCACGAAGGAAGTGTCTCAGAATGGTGTATACAGTAATATCAATATATAGGCAATAAAAGGTTTGCTGTTGCGCATTTCTTTGGAGAATTAAAAGTAAATATATATATCAATAAATTTTCAAATAAAGTTATTAAATATATTTACCAATTTATTTCCATATGAATCTCTCTTCATTATTTCTATATACATAAAGGATGAGAGATTTAATGTGCCCATTTCAAGTCACGTTTAATATAAAATGATTTAATTATAACAAGAAAATAAATCATTTATGGATCTGCAGAATGTGATACAAAATGAAGCCCAAAATCTTATGTAATTCATTGATTCTTGGGTTATTTAATGATGCATTTTCAACTGTATGAGTTATGTAACATCAAATGTAAGGTAAATGCAGTCAACTGATAGGAAAGAATGAGGTTGCAAGTGGCCATGGCCTGTTTTCAGGCAATATTCCAACATTTTCCTCTTTGAGTTAATTGGGGGAAGAAACTTGGGATTGTAGAATATTGCATATTGAGGAGCTTCGTGATTGTACTCCTCCTCCTTAGTATAGGCAATAGGCAATCAAGCCTGTTTAGAATTCACATATTTATTCTCTTCTCCAAGGTCTTCCTTGGTCTCATTATTTAATTTGTACTCTCCATCAGATATTTTGCTTGGAAAACCTGAGGAAAGAGATTATTTGGAATATCAAGGCATGGATGGAGGATTAATATTAAAATGGCTTTTAAAGAAATAGGATGTAAGGGTGTTGAATGGATTTATTTGGCTCAGTTATGGATCAGTGGTAGGCTCTTGTAAACTTGGTAACTAATGTTTATATTCCATACATTTCATTGAATTTCTTGAGTAGCTGAGCAACTATTCACTTCTGAAGCAGAACTTTGCTCTGTGGCGATAGTTAAGTATTTTTTTCTTAGTTAATCCTAAAATTTCCCTGGAAGAACTGAGGAGAACCACTATAAACGTCAGGCAGGCTCCAGTTCACATTCAAACCTTGGATCTCCCAAATATAAAATAGGGATGCTAACCACTCGACCACAAGGTGTGGTGAGCTATAAGCAGATTGATCATTTCATGTACCATGTAGTGGTGCTGAGCAAACAGGTTTTGCTAGCCTGATATAAAAATGTACTATTTTAGCCCTGTGCTGTGATATTCAGTAGGCATGTTTGATGCTAAATGGTGAACAGTATTTTTATTAGGAAAGTTACAGCTTAAAGACTGCTTTAGCTGCTAATTCCTGCTTTGAATATGTGTATATACGAGTAAGGTACAGGGGAAAAGACAGTGTTGAACTCACATTTAATATGCGAGATATACTCAATACAATGTGGCAATACTCTTAATGACAGACATATTATGTAGCTCTGGACAAACACCGTTGTTCGTTATGAATTAAGTTTGGTGTTAATCTTTTGTAATTATGAAAACCAGGAAAATGTATGTGCATGAAAGCGATTTTTTTATACTTAAATTTTTTTTGTATTCTCTTTAGTTTGTATGTGTTGTGTATGGTCACAGTGACAAAAAGTGTTCTATTGCAGAGCCATCATCTGTTCTAGAGCTGTACTACTTTATTGTGTTAATATTTTTTTCTTGAATTCGTATACACTGCATATATTGACATGAAATATAATTTGTTTTTCTTCATTATAGCCATAGTTAAAGAAATGCACTGCAAATAATAATTATTGTACATGATGTAAAATGTTTAAAATATAGCTGCTGAAGTGACTGAATAAGTTAAAATAAAAAAAGGGACTTTAAAGTTGGAACTAGTGCATTGTTAATTTATTCCTCTAGCATTCACACTGGTTCTGGGTCCTACCCAGCCTCCTAATCAGTGGGTACCCAGCGTACATTTCCCAACTTATGCATGAAGCTGACCACTCATCTCCATCTGGTGTCAAAATCAAGAATGATGGAGCTATACTTCCACTCCCCCCCCACTTCTCCATGGTGGGATGATAAATTAAGCATAGGGAAAACTTTGCCTTAGTTTAAGGTCATGAGCTGGGATACTTCAGACAGTAAACTGGTTGTGAACAGGGTGTATTGAGCTCAATTTCTAATATGAGTAAGGATTTTCCTCTTCACAGCCACTTCAGGATCGACTCTAGAATTCGCTAAATTTTCTATACAACCATAAATGGAGGATTTGATGGTAATTTTGTCCTCCACTATGCCAGCTTTACTTCACTTTACCTTGGTGAGGTTTAAGTCTGTGACAAGAACTCAGTGGAAGACTCACTGATATGAAGACTTGGGACATCTTCATAAATTCGTTTGAGCTTTTCTTTCAAACTGAGGCCCAAGAAGTGACCTGTGCTTCTCTAAAAATACCTTGCAAGTAACTTAGCATCTTGTATAGTCCTTAAAAATGGAATAATTTTGAAAAAAGAAATTATTACTGACTGACTGAGTATTGTATGGATTATTAATGCCTAGAAGCTGTTAGCTACTGAACATGATCTCAGTTCTGAGCACTTAGAGGCTTTTTGAAATATTTTGTTGGTAGCACTGAACATTTGAACTATTTGAAATGTTGCACACCTTGGAAATGTGTACACTGCATCTATCAGGTCTATCAGTATGATCAGTATGGTTGCAGGAAACTTCAATATCCTTCATGTCAGTAGTGTGTGAGGAAGAGTGTATCTCTTGTATCTTTTGGATACTTGAGGAAAGTTACAAAAGATGGGGCACATATGCCTTATATAAGTTCATATTTATTTTTTCAAGTTTCAGTACTTGTATAGGTTACATAATCTGGTTGCAATTAAATATGTTCAAGCCTTATTATGAATTATTAAATGTTGCCTATATTGACTTTGAATTTTAGCCTGAATTTAGTGGAAGTTTTAATTTAAAAACTTAACCATGAGATTGGAGTAGAATGATGGAAAGAGATACATGTTTAAAGCTCTTGCATTCTAGGAATATTACTGTAAACAATGGGAAGAGTTGTATACCTTGATACTGTATTTTATTCAGACACTTTCCAAAATGTTATGTTAAAAGCAGTATTGTAGGTGGAAAGATAACATCATAGTGATTTTAAAATGTGATAAAAGTGACAGATAAGGAACCCCTAAGATATGTTGTCATGAAACATTAGTAAAAATTCTGTATGGAACTTCCCCAAAAATATGTTATTTTTTATATTGACATGTGTTGTTCATGTATATAAAAACATCATGTCATCTAATAATCTGAAGGTTTATTTTCTACCAACAGGAATTTTAAGAATAGATGACTGTAGACTAAGGGCAGATACAAGGAACCATCAAATGGCAGCCAGACTTTTACACTCTGGGCCACTTGTTGACCTGTGAGATTAGAGCGTCTCACTGTGATGACTATAAAGATTACTGCCTTCTAAGATGCTATGCTGTGTAGTCTTCTTTATCATTGCTGCTGTTTAGAACAACATGCTGGCTCTGTCTTCAGCACCGAAGACAATTTCTTATGCTCATTTATTCAGTCAGATACTAAAGTGCTTGTGTCCTGCCAAGCGTTATATATGTGAATGGAAGTGTTTATCAGCATGGACTGCCAGATTCATTATGACAGCTTATGCATCAATAACAGATCTGTCTGTATGCCAGAACAATTTGTATGGGCTGGTCAAAAGGAATGAAAGTAATGTTAAATGGTAATGAACCTTGTTACCGATCAAGCTACTGCTGCCATAATTGGTATTGGAAATTCGAGCAGTTGAGTGCAGATGGTAGGATGTCTCTAGGACATTGGCATTGACATTAAGCCTTTCTACCACTTTCTATGTAGGAGAGTCGCCCGAACACTGTGCACAAAGTGTTGCAAATGGAAGATGTAAAGCAGTGTAAACATACTGTGTGCACTTCTATAGATCAGAACCTTGAGGTGGCCATGAGTGTGTAGAGATAGAATTATTCCTACCTGATTTTTTTACCCTTCGGAATGTCAGTAATGCTGTTATGGCACTGATAATGTGTGTAGCATTGTGACCTAATCTCACTCTTCGAGTTACGGTTCTGTAATTGGCTGATATGTGCGTTGCCCTAAACATACAGCTGTGTAATCCTTGGACTGGGGTTTGTTTCCTGCATAGCAATGTGAGGTCTCCCTATTTTAACAATGGAGACAACAAGTGGGTCAAATTAATGTACGTTTAAACACTGATTCAAGGAGTGCTTACGGCACATACGGTTCTTCTTACGCTGAAGTTTTGAGGCCAAACATAATCGTCCCCTATTTCATCTGTTCTGCAGCTCTGAAGGTAAAGTTCTCGCTGGGTTTAATTTGTTAAGCAGCACGCCTGGATCTTAAAGATATAGGATGTGGCGATATGGACTGGATTGATCTGGCTCAGGATAGGGAACAGTGGATTATCATAAGCTGACGAGTTGGGTCATTTTGTGATTTGTGTCGAACACTCTTTTCTACAGTTGACCTTGATGCCTTATATGTTTTTGTAGTGCAAACTTTTGGTAAACACTGATTTGGTTGCTAGTCCAACCAGAATATCTTTGTTTCTCCTGCAGTCTTTCCAGCTATGTTATTTATCCTGCCTGATGAATTTTTCAAACAAGGGAATTCATGATAAATGTAGTTTTTAAATGCTGAGGTATGCAGCACAAGTCAGGAACCGGCAAAATTGGTGCGATGCAAGAATCACTAATTTAACAGTAATCTCGAGTTTCCCGAAAAAAGCATGTCATATATAAAAAGAATCTGCACATAAATTCAGCCATGTGTTCACACTGTAAGAGCTTTATGATGCCCACAGCAATCGGCATTTATTAGGTACTTAAAAATGATTAGGATATGTATAAAGGATATTCAAGTTGGTTTCTTATATGTGTAATATATGAACAAGTTTTAGAATTTTTCATAAATTCCCATTAATATTGGAAATCTTAGAACATTTTCGAGAATTTTAAAACATATTCAAGGATTTCCGAGTTTTTCATAAATTTTCTATAATTTTCGATAATTGTGGACAATTTAAGGATTTTTTTTAGAATTTTCGGAAAACTTTCGGGGAGATTCCGGAAATTTTTTGGAGAATTTCCGAAATTTTTCCGAAAATTCTCCGAAAGTCTTCCGAAATTCCTCCGAAAGTTTTCCTGGATTTCTCCGAAAGTTTTCCAACATTTCTCCGAAAATTTTCTGAAATCTCTCCGGAAATTCGTGAAAATTGCAATCAATTTCAGTCAAGTACAATGAAAATACAAACAAATTCGATGGAATTCAATCAAATACGATCGAATTTATTAAAAAATATCCAAAAACAAAGAAATTCGAAGAAATTCAATCGAATAGATCGAATTTATTAAAAAATATCCCAAAACAGTCAGATTCGATGATGTACAATAGAATTTAATCAAATACGTTGGCAGCAGTTAAGCACTCATGACGTCACGGCGGCAAAGTAGCCCACGCCGTTTCGAAGTGTGATGTTTGGCTGTGGTGAATTTCTGCCGCCCAGACATGGAATCGTGCACCGCGAATGGTGTACAAGCATTATGAATAAAAACCGTATGCATATTCAGAGTATTTGATACTATTTTTCGAGACAGTCGTTTTAAACGAATGCGGCAGGTATTATATATAGTGTAAGAAGTTGCCTGGTACTCGCGTGTATGAGATCACTCAAGCATGTGAAGAAGTGTTATTGCATGTTGTATTGTCTTGCATGGCTTTTTCGTAAGTTTATGGTAATTTACGGGAGATGTTCAGTGATTGTCTCCGGTGAAAACTACACAATAATATATGTGTATGTTGTGTACATCAAGTGTGTCTCGAAATACAAATTTTGAATATAGAGGTTAAGTCCATACATAGATGAAATTAGTGGGGATGATCAGTGTTGGTTTCGACGTAACAGATCAACTACAGATCAGATCTTTTGTATTCGTCAGATACTGGGGGGGGGGGGAAATGTGAATACAATGAGACAGTACCTCTTTTTACCTTTTGAGTTAATGTAACAAATGTGTTGGCATGTGAGATATTTATTGTCAGTACACTTCTGCATATTGTGAACTTATTTGAAGACTTTAATTTGATTCCTTAAGCTCGTCATGTTTTGAAAGTTACTGTGAATGTCAGCCTGCAGGTTACGTTTCATTCACTATGGCATAAAACCTGGGCTCGTTACATGCTGAGCATTATTTAAAATGGCGCAGTATGTACCCATACATGCTGTCTCTCTTATAATACGAATCATTTATTGAACTCTCCAAACTGTATATCAATCAGGCTGCTGAAACATGTTTCTTAGTTATTCGGCCAGCAGCAGTTTATCGGATTTTCTTTATCTCATGTCTGTTGGCTAAGTTGCCAGCTGTGTTTCCTCCAATCATGTTGTAATACACCAGACTTCACAAAGAATGTAAATTGTCATGTCCACAGAAGTCTGTTATAGTAATCTTTCATAATGTCATATTCCTTGTCTGGTGTGAGTTAAACAAAATTTATTGAAATGGTGTGAAGAGATTTAGACCATTTTCAATTAACTCTTTGACTGGCGCGAAGGGTATTTAAATCCCACCCCTGTCCTGGCAGGCCCTTTAAACCTTATGTCGCTAAAATGCATGTAGTTACTTTTTCCTAAACAACTTCAACAAAAATTGGTTTTTAAAACGAAATTTTCAGGAACTAATTAAAATACAATATATTATGCAATAAATTCCTTTCCATACCTCTTTATTAGTTTTTCTTCGTGTGATAAACATTGAAACATGAAAGTTTGCAGAGAGCCACACCACAGCCTGCACACATGATACTTATTTCTTTTCTAACCTTGTGCTTAGCACTCACGCAACACTTTCTCAGGGCACCATTCTTCTTATTGTTACTGGGAGTAACATGGACCATTTTGTGAATTTTCAAGCCACCCTCTAGACGATTTGCTGGCTCTTTCACAGGTGGCCTTTTCAAGGTCGAGGGCGGAGGCGTGACTGCACTCTAGTCTGACGCAATAAATTCGTCATCCACTTCATTCCTTGACTTTTCTCCCTCTCCACACTGTTTGTTTGGTTCAGTCATTTTTCTACACAGTCCAATATAAAATCTTTGAATCTGTAATTTCTCTTCTTGTATTTTTCGTTTGTTGTGTTCTTTTTGAATAGAATGAAACTATTCAACCGCAAAGACATGTTTTGTCCATACCATGGGTGTGAAATAGGGGCCTAGTGGACAAATATTCTTCAATTTCAGGGCGTTTGTCGATTCCTGTCATGAACACAATTCCTAAGTATGTCCAGATTTCATCTGATGTGACATAATTGTAATTGTGTTTTCGAGAGTGAGGAGCTAACTCATGTGTGTTGAAGTGCTGGTGAGCATAGCGATTGGTTTCAGTTGTGATGTGATTTACCAAGTCGTCATCCAGAAAAAATTTTAATCCATGAAAAGGGATGCATTTTATGTGTTATATCAATTTTGATCCCGAAACTATTAGCAAATGAAAATATTGGGAGTACAATGTCTCCGTACGTTCATGAGATGGGCGTGTCAGGCACCGCACTCGTGGTAGGTAAATGTTCATGATTACTGTCTTGTGGATCATTGTCTATCACTGTATTATTGTCACTATCAACTTCATCCAATTCAGGAATCATTATTTCATCGCCACTATCATCATCAGAACAAATTTCGTTCACAACATTTCCAGCTGGTGTGTAGGAACACGAAGACACTTGCTGCAAGAAGACATGGTGAAACTGAATGAATGTGAAATATTTTCTGACCTTTTCCTTCTCAGAGGGTTCTGACAATAATATAGACCCCCACAAAGTTTACAAGGGTTCTTTACAAACATGCACAAAAAATATCATATATATGTCTTTGGTTGATGAGTGCCAAGAGAGCAAAGAAGGGAAGAGATTGTCAAAGCGTTAAAACACGCCAACGCCAGGGAATGGCTGGCATCGTCCGGGCGTTAAAACATGCCCGCGCCAGTCAAAGAGTTAATAGCCCACACTATTCCTTGCTAGATGATCTGTGGGTGGGGGGAAGTATAGTAGATTATTGTGTGAATGTTGGAAGAGGAATGAATGGAGATACAGGGAAATTATGTTGGATTAATGAGATTTAACCCTTTTCAACTTCTCTTGTGAACAAACACAACTGTTGCATAATTTGTGGAGTTTGGTGGGGTACAGTGATTAGTGGATTATGGAGAAGTTGAAAGTGCCAGCTGCTTTTAATTCATGTTGTTCTGTTTCAGAGTTGGTGTAGTTGCAATCAAAAGAGTGACTCTCGGTCACGTGTCGACTGCAATGGCAGTGCTGGGAGCAAGTGGAAGTTTGGAGCTTTGCAAAGGAAGAGCATGCAAGTATTTAAATCTGAGCAGTTGTTATTCTGTGGGAAATAAATTTTGAATGGAGGCCAACATAAGATTACCATGGCATGTGTGGCCATGTGTGGGGGGGTTCTTTCTGTGTTGGTGTTCTTCATAATGTTAGCTCAGAAAATTTGGATGTGAGGAGTATTCAGGTGCGCACTTGCAGTGCATCTGCACAGAAATTGTACTGAATATTTGGAGTGTGGTTTTCGTGACCCCAAAAAGTGTGCAGTATAAAAATATATGGTTTGTTTCACTATACTTTCTATTTAATTTAATTTCTGTTGGTGATTTTTTAAGTGTGAAGACTGTCTTTGGTGTGTGAATTTTATTGGGTTTTGACATGGTTGATCACCTGAGCTGAATTTGTTGCATTCTGTGCTATATGATGTGTACCCTGGCAGCAGAAACCTTTCACACTTTGTTATTTAAAGTACTGGCTTGCTGGAAACAAGTAGAAGACAAATTCGTTGCTTTGTCTGAAACCTGGTGTTGCCGCTGGATCCATCTTCGGCCAGAGAAGTGAATGCATTCCATTCTTTCTCAGCCTTTTACTTAATGTCTATTCTAATGTTATTCTCCTGTATCCCAAGAAGTCTCTACCCTTGATGTGTGTCCAGTGAACAGCATTTTTTATTAGCTACTTCCATAGTGCTTCTCTCTCACCCGAGTCACACCTAGCTTTGAACGATGAGCCTGATATGTGGTGAATACTAGGTGTACATGTTATGAGTGTCCTCATTATGCAGTTACTGTCAAGCATTTTGTTAACTTCCTGAGACTTAGCTCAGCACTTATGTTAAGTATCACCAGAAGCGTTTCCCACACCCATAGAAAACAAACAGCACAAGCATTCACATAATTTAGTTGGCTTGTTTGTGAGTATACATTTTACTTATTACTGTCAATGCCAGATATTTGTACTTTGTCACAGGTCTCACATTTAGCTTCCAGCATTTTTGTGTGCATAAATAAAGTAATTGAATATGTTTGAGGTATAGAACAGAAACTGATGTGTTGCATCGAATTCCAGTCCATATTAATATCTCAGGCCTTCCTAAAGACATTCCAAATTGAAGTTGCAAGGAATGTCTATTCAGAGATTTGTTTTTACAGGCATAAACCAGAAGGGAAGAAGGGATTGTTGAACGTTGCTATGTCTGCCTTACAAGAAGGACTCTCTTTGATTGGGAGTCACAGTGGCTGGGTGGGTCAGTTGGTTGCTGAGTCAAGTTCAAGGATTGCATATTAACATAGCAGGATGCAAAGGATTAAAAGGCAGTAAATTCCAGATGGTGATGATATTTAAAACTGGAAACAGAACTGTTAAATTTCTTGAATTTTAGTCATGGAATTTCGTTGGCTGGTCTTGTAGATATATTGATGCAATATGTGAAGGTCGCAAGATACATGTCAGGCGTTTTGATTTCACTCAGTGGCACTTTGCCCAGCAGTGTTTCTGTGCGTGCTCTGCTTTAGAAATTTTCCTTTTGATGTAATCATTTGTTTTAATTTTCAGTATGTTGTAATGTTTTTCCTGCCTGCTGAGTGTCTGGGAGGCAGCTGGTTGGAGTCTGGTGTGAGAAATCAGCTCTGTGATGAGGCTTCCTGCAGATGATTTGAAGTGAGCACTTTAGAATAAGCATCAGTTCCTTCTGTCCATATTTTTGTAAATTATAATTAAAAGTCAGATTGTTCTCAAAGGCTTCTGCTCTATATTTCTTTCCGTGTTACACTATCAGTCCTATTATCTCTGTGACTGGCGTGAAGGATATTTAAATGCCACCCCAGTCCTGGCAGACCCTTTAAGCTTTAAGTCGCTAAAATGCATGCGCTTACTTTTTCTTTAAATAACTGTTTCTGGAAGGACACCATTTGATGTATCCACCTTTTGGAAATGTTACTTTCGAATGACATTACCTCCAATAAATTAGCTGGATAGGCTCTGTTCAAAATCTGGGGTTCACTAGTAGAATGGATGTAAGTTACCATTTGTGTATGAGAATGGGACTGTGTCTCCTTATTAATTTTCACAGTATAAGCCTGAATCCTGATTAATATAATTGACAGTTGTTATAAATAATAATGATCTGTTATGATGTCTACTGAGAAGTGCTTAATGACCTCACAGCACTAGAATTGTTGCTTTCTGCTGTAGTTTTCTCTTATAAATGTGCTATGAAGAACGGGTGAAAGCATAAAGGTGTGGCCATTAGCCTGGGGTACTCAGTGTTCTGAGTTACACTTGTCTTTAATACTTACTGGACCAGGTCAGTAGAACGTTTTGAAACATGAAACTGTAGAATGAGATACTAAATATTTGTAGGAGTAGAAGAAAGTGGGGTGATGTCAGTGTAAATGCAGTGAAGTAAACATTGTTACCATTTGACTTTCTGCGGGTATGTCTCTCGCAGACTGAACTAGCATGCTTACAGTCTGAAATACATCTTTCCCTTCCTGTGCACTTCTCCCATGTCTTGCATTTAGCTCAGTATGTGCAGTAAACTTAAAAAACTGCAATAGGCTTGCATCATTTAGCAATTATGAAAGTAGGCTTTGCAAGTGATTATCTTAGACGATAGGATAATAGAAGTGAGTTTCTAACTTTGTATTCAATTAATAATTAATTACAAGTAATTCAAATGCTGTCATGTTGTAAATATTTGCAGTATCATGTTTTTTTTACTGACCCATAGAATTATGAAAATATTAGAATACACTCAACTCTCGATTATACGGGGTGGATAAACCGGTTTGCGGCTTAACCGGGGCTTTTTTGAGGCTTATGTGTTGTTTAATATTCATTCACTTTTGTGTCACATGGTGAGTTGTAACACTATTTTCACAATAGTGTGAACTGAGCTCTGCATTTTTTCATCCCATTTTGCTAACACAGTGTTCTAGGGTAGGAGTGAAAGAATGCAAGGAATTGTGGAAAGTTTCAAGGACAGAAACACTGCCCCAGTTAGTCTCTTTGTATCGATCTTCAAGTGCATTAGTAAAATGTTAGGGTGTAAAAAGAAGCATGTTGTGTTAAGTATTCAACAGAAATTTGTGTGAGCCGGGCTTCGAAATGTTAAGCAGTGACGAAACTGTAAGTTCAGTGGGGGTGCAGCCAGAAGAGCGGGAAGAAAGTGAGAATGAGGAAGAGGTGGACAGTGCTGCTAGTAAGAAAATATCACATGGTGCTGCTCTTAATCATATGGAATCCTTACTTGATTATCTTGAGAGTGAAGAGAACAGTTTATTAAGTGACAGGCTAATATTACATAGGCTTCGTATGGATATCCGTAAAAAGGAAAATGCCGTGAAAAAGCAAATGACAATATTAGATTTTTTTAAGTGTTAAGTGTGAATATTCGTAAAAAGTGTTGGATGTTGAACACTGTGATTGAAATAACTAAGTCATACTTCAGTGTAATGTAAAAAAAGTATTAAATAGGCCATGAGATGACATAAAAATGAGGTTGAATAAATTTAAATACAGGTAGGCCTATAGTATTATGAAGGTACAGTATTACAGTACTACGTTTAATAAAATTTGTCTTAATCGGGTTATCGATTAATCGTGATTTCCATCCCCACCATTATCCCGGGTAATCGAGAGTTGAGTGTAGCTGGAAGATTTTTCATTTTGCATTAATTACTATTATGAAATTTGAATCACATGACAGGATTAGTTTCAGGCATCTTTGCCTGTTTCAGAATGTTACAACTCAGTCATGACAAAGGTTTAAATTGAGTGTCTTGAGGGTACCGTTATGCAGTAGTTTTACATGTTGTATAGCAAGTGTCACGTAACTTCTAACAAGGCCACGAGTAACCTTGAATGCGCAGAAGAAAAATTTCAGAGAAGGGGGTGGGTTCAAGGGTGTGAGAAGTGACAGGCAGCCAGTTGAATTGAATTGGAATTGAATTTATTTACATTTTATAAATCCTAAGCAGGTTAGTACCTTTGGATACAGAACAAGTCAAAAGGTTGCATTCATAAGTACAGGCAATTTTAGCTTAAAAATTAATATAACTTAATTTTACATCATTCTCTATTTACATTGAAGTATTCATCTAAAGAGTAGACGGAATGAGCATGTAGATAATTCTTTAACTCTGATTTAAACTTTTTAGTATCATTGCCCAAGTTTTTAATACTTTGTGGCAGATTGTTGAACACTTTTATGCCAGTAAAGTAGACTCCTTTTT